CTAGGCCGTAAGACCTTGCCGAGCAAATAGGCAAAGTCACGCCACCGGCGCCCTGGGTACGCGCCCCGGCACCCACCAGGGTCGCTGCCCATAATTTCTATCTGCTCCAGCGCCACAGGTGGAGCCAGGCGCTGCCTGTGGCGCCCAAATGCTTTGGCTCTAATTTTGCGCGTTTCACCCCCAATTGCTCCCGAATCATTCCTACACATGAAAACACTTCAAATTAATATAAATCATGGCGTTTAACATCCCGAATTCACGAACAAAGTAAAATATGAGGCGATATACGTAGAAATATATATACTTTAAGCTAAACATCGTACCTCAAGGTAGGTTCTCCTACTTCCACCAGGATCAGATCTTTTGCTCCGTACACGATAGAGAAAGGTGTCTCTCCTGTGCTTGACATGGTCGTTGTCTGGTATGCCCATAGCACTCCCGGTAACTCCTCGGGCCACTTGACTTTGGCGGCTTCCAACCTCTTTTTGAGGTTTTGAATAATCGCCTTATTGGCTGATTGCGCCTGCCCATTTGCGCTCGGATAGTATGACGAAGATGTGATTCTTTTCATTTTCAAGTCNCCCCCCCCCTCCACCCCCAATTTTAATGTTAATTAAAAACATAAGTTTTGTTATATAACATAGTAGTATTAAGGCCATGTACATTGATAAAGATCTAGTCCGTTCTTATTCCCTCAAGGAATGTTCTATTGCCTTTTAGATTCATGTTGCCCATAAATAGTTTGGCTAAGATCCATTTTAAATCTTATACTTATCAAAAGAATTAAAAGTGAAAAAATATACTAATGGCAGCCTTTAAATTTCTTTTTTATCTAATTATATTTGGTCTAATGGCACATGACATCGGTTCATTCATCCCACTATAATAGATGCATGTTAATTGTTTGCCCTATATTGTTTGAATTTACGGTCATGTCCATCGGCACATGTCACTGTTTCTTTCTTCCCTTTAATTTGCTACAATATATATATATATATATATATATATATATATATATATATATATATATATATATATATATATATATATATATATATATATATTGATCGTTCACCCTATATTTTTTGGATTTGGTTGTCACCTCCAATGGCACTTGATCATCGTTTCATTTATTTATTCCTTTAATTTACTACAATATCTACATATTAATTGCACGCCCTATTTTTTTGGATCTGTTGTCACCTCCATTGGCACATGTTTATCGTTTCATTCATTCATTCCTTTAATTTGCTACAATATATGTCTGTTATTTATTGCTCGCACTTTATGATTTTTTTATTTGTGGTCATGTCCATTGGCACATGTCATTATTTCATTCATCCCTTTAATTTTCTACAACATCTACCTATGAATTTTTCGCCCTATATATTTTGGATTTATTGTCACCCCCATTGGCACATGTTCATTGTTTCATTCATCCCTTCAATTTGCTACAACATATGTCTGTTAATTGCTCGCCCTACGTTTTTTGGATTGCGGTCATCTCCATTGGCACATGTCATTGTTTTATTCATCCCTTTAATTTGCTATAATATCTACATATTAATTGCTATACTTATATTTTTTGGATCTGTTGTCACATCTATTCATTGTTTCATTTATTTCATTAATTTTCTACAATATATGCTTTTTAATTGCTAGCCCGTTATTTTTTGGATTTGTAGTCATGTCTATTGGCATATATCATCGTTTTATTCATCCCTTTAATTTTCTAATTGCTCGCTCTATAATCATTGGGTTTGTGGTCATTTTCTATTTAATAGGTAAAACATTAAAATTTATTAAGATTGTGGTGTCTAATAGGAAAAAGGGTCAGGTGATGTGTTAATGTAAAAGAAGCGGACAAGTCTAATGGGCAGCTTATGTATTTTCCTCCAGAATATGTTTTATAAACTATTTTTTGCATAATTATGGTGAATGTTCTAATTGAAGGGACAGCCTTGGTCGAACCCTTGAGGCTATCACACTGACTAGTGTTAAACAATATTTCTAAAGGGCTACAAAAGTCCAGTCTAATCCTATTTAATTAACATGTAATTCTTTCGGGGATATTCGATAAAATTAGAACTGTGAGCACCTCACCATTTTAAAATTTTTATCACCTTTTAGTATATAAATATTTATAAGTTTAATTTACATATTTTAGCTTTTGTTTCAATTTTTATAGGTTTTACCCAAGAAAATTAAAAATGATACAGAGAGTCACACTTTAGATATTGGTTTTATCTGTAAAGTAAACACAAGTCCTCAAATATCGGTTACCTCCTCAAATGGAGTATATTATATGGTCCCCACCAGATATGTCACCACAACTCAAATCAGGAAAATCTCACAGATACAATGGCATCTAGTCAAATATTACACACGATTCTACGGAGGTGAACTGCCCGATCCCATAAGAGTAGCTCATGAAGTGGTCGAGGAGAACAGACCGATCCCATAAGAATATTTTATAGAACTGTCGAGGCGAAGGACTCGACCCTATCAGAATATGATACATGATATTGCCAAAGCGAACGGTCCGATCCTATAAGTGTTTTTAATAGAAATGTCGAGGTGAACAACCCGATCCCATAAGAGTGTGTTACAATATCCTGCTGAGGTGAACGGCCCGATCAATAAGAGTGTGGTACATAATCCTGCCATGGCGAATGGCCCGCTCTAGAAGAGGGCGGTACATAATCATGTCGAGGCGAACGACTTGATCCCATAAAGTGTGGTACATAATCTCGCCGAGGGGAACGGCCTGATCCTATTAGAATTTATA